ATGTTTGCTGGTAATGATTTTTGTTGAACCATTTGAGAGTGATGCCCCTCCACTCCTAAATGTTTTGGTCCATATCTTTCAAGAACAGGAATATTTCCTGATCATATGACTTCATCACAACGATCACATTTAGAAAACCTGATACTGATCCCATCGAATACATAGTCCACTCGCAAATGCTGCCCGTTATGCCAGCAGCGCCCAAGGCCATGGCAGTTCCCAGCGGCCACCAGGCAGACTGGGCGCTCCATCCACCGGTCGTCCTCTGCAGCTCAGCCTCCGCGCTCCTGCTCCTCCTCGCAGGACATGAAGGGACAATGAGATGCTTGAGGCTCCTCATCTGCTTGGTCGGCTGTTTCCTCAACAGAAGGGGGGGGGGAGATTTGAGAGAGAGACACTGATGTGAGAGGGACACATTGATTGGTGCCTCCCACACACACCCCAGGACTAGTGACTGAAACTGCAACCCAGGAACATGCCAGGGACCCAGAACCGAACTGGCAACCCTTTGGTGCTCGGGCCAACGCTGTAACCACTGAGCCACCGGCCAGGGCCTGGGTGGGTTTGTTTGTTTCATTTCATCCCCTCAGGAGACACGATGACAGTGAAACGTTTTCTTAACAACTTGGGTTCCTGGAGTATTTAATGACACGTGCGGGAAACTCACTCTCCAGCGCTGCCGTCTTCCGCAGGCTGCGCCCCGTGGTCTGCGGGCTCTGCCCTCCTCTGCTGCTCACGGCCTTGCAGCCAGGCTGGCCTGCAGGCTCCTCCCCGCCACCCCTCAGGGTTCTGCTCGAACCCCGCCTCCCAGTGAGGTCTTTCCTTCCCCTGAAACGCCCTCCCTGCGGCGGCGAGGCCCTACCCGGCTCTGGGCTCCCTGCTCTGTGCAGCGCAGCCTCCATTGCACACCTTCCCCGATTACTTACTTATTTTGTCTCCCAGGCTGCTCTGTGCTCCGGATGCAGGTCTGAGGCCAGGCCTCTCTCTGTCCTGCGCAGACTCTCGGAACCAGAGTGAACGAGCCAGTGCGAGTTACACGGCTTCTGTGGCCGTGAGGATGGGACTCGCCTCCTGTTTCCTCGTTTCTCGTGTGTCAAGTGGGGACAGCAGTGGTGCCCGCTTCCTGGGGCGGCGAGGCCCGGAGGAGAGAGGCCCAGACCCAAGTGCTGGGAAGCCAGGCCCCCAGCCCAGCGCCCACGTGGAGGCCGGGCGGGCGGGCACACTGAGGTCCCTAATCAGAGTCCAGAGAGACTGCGCAGCAGCCCTTCCTCGACCACTTAACTGAATAGAAAGTGAGAAAGTCTTGCGATGAGATGATAAACCTCGACCGTGTGGCTCTTGGCTGAGTCTCTCATAATCGTAACCAGGAATGTAGGGAGACCTCAACACTTTTCCCTTAAGGAAGCATGTATTTCCCTTAGGAGACATTTAGTTGTATTATTACATCACATTGTGAAATATTTTAATTGTTTTCACGGCAACATCTCCCTCTCCATCCCCACTCTTTCCCGGGCG